CTTCCTCACTTCATCGATCGTCTCGAATGGGACCTACAGGTTCGCGTAGGAACTTGCATATTAATATGTGACCAGTTAAAGGGATTATTCACAATCCATATCGGAGGAGAACAAGGGGTTTGGCTGCAAGAGTGGTGAGGGTACAGACGAAAGAGAGGTAGGACATCTGTATGAAATAGGAGACTTGACACGGCAAACGAGCGTACGCCAGCGTCGTCGAGGGCACCCCTTTTCGTTCTTCAGGATGGGACAATACTGTTGGGATACACCGAGCACTATTGTTGTAGGCAAGCCAACGATCGCTGTGGGCTGCCTTTGTTGCCAACGTTATTGGTGGAAGGGTTGCGAGAGGGCTTTTGGTTGCACACCACTCCTCCCTTCTACCAATGACGTTGGCGATAACGGCCGCCCACAGCGATCTTGTCCACTGCCTCTAATCCATTCGGCGAACATACACATACAGCAACTACTCAAGAAGGATACCCTGAAAACCCCGGGTTTGAAAAAACTCCCACTAAATTTTCACAGTTCCTGCGGTTTGGGTTCCTGTTTTAGCATGCGCGGTCCGCGCCCCATTCTTGGTATATTCCAATTTGTCAATTGGAGCAGCTAAACTGATATGAATTCAAGCGAAGGCAAGACTTCATGCTGAGTTATATCTATCTGTCCCCTCCATGTCATATGCAAATTTGAACGCCTAGGCCGGACAACTCATTCCTCGTGTGCGCAGCGTCGCTCACCCTACCCAGCGCGGGATACTAGGAATTTCTTGTCACATATTTGTTATTGTAGGTGCAGCTTCGTCGACTATGGGCCGGTTACAAGAAAGGAGAGCCGTGTTCAAAGGTAAGTACATCACTACTATACATGGAGAAATGATGGACCATGGAGACTCACAGTTCCTAGAATTTTTTTTCGAAGTTTTGAAGGTGAAACCTTACAAACCTTCTCCACCCCAAACCGAAATTTCCTGCATGATCTCTTCCACATCACTTCTGTAGAGCATAGATGTTTTATGAGAGACTTCGTTTTGCAAGAGTCTCGCAGACGTTGGGGGATGGTGCAGGGACGGGGGGCGGTATTGAAACAAACAGTGATGATCCTTGCAAACGATGAGGGTAACGCGGCGTTCCGAACCAGGGTACAGCATCGTTGGAAATACATGAAGAGGTTGTACTTTCCCGCTGGGGAAGGGGGGCCCGTTGGCAGGGGGGGAGGTCGTACTTTTAAGAGAAATTCGCTGCGTTGAAAAGAAATTTTTTTCTTGGCTATTGACTTTTCGCGATTTTTTTCCTGTTTCTTATGTACTATATTCCCCTCCCCACCTTCACCCTCCCCCCCCTCCGCTGGACGAAAAGTTTTGTGTGAAAACACTAGAAAATGTGGGGAAATTGGTGGGAATCGGGGGGGGAGGGGGGGGGAAGTCGCCGGAGACGTGCATTTAGGGGAGGGCCAGCATGCCCCCTGCCCTCAAACGGGGGGGGTTATGTCACCGTACAACCACACATCACATCACGATGCTGGCACCTGTTCGGAGCGACAGCCCAGGCAGCCCTTGTTTCCAACAGTATGTCATCGTGGAAGTATTGTCGTCTTGAACCCCTACAACTGGTGAGAAATCTGCCCTGGCCGCTCTCCAAGCCACGCTATCGTCACACGCCCTATCGATTGCATGAATCGTGACTGTAGACAAGGTACAGATCGTGATTTGTGAGGTGGGGGTGTAGGTACGACTCCCCCCTTCGACAGACAATGGCCCCTTCCCCCACCCAAGAGGGTCTCGGTACGAACCCCCTTCCCCGACACCTACCTACCAATTTCCTCATTTTCCGTATTGAGGAAGTTGGTAGTTAGGTGTGTATTTCACCCAAAGATTTTCCGTCGAGTGGACGGGGGGGGGGAATCACGCGAAAAGTCAACAATCAAGAAAAATTTTTCCAGCGGAGCAAATTGCTCTTAAAGGCAAATACGCCCCCCCCCTCTCCCAGTGAGCAAATAATACAGAGCCCATCAACAGAGAAAATGTACGACGCTGCCCTATGTGTTTCACAACAACGATGCTGTACCCTGACTGTAGATGTATCAGAAAGATACAAATTGTGATAGGTCTCATTACTAAGACTGTCCGATCCTTCTTTTCAGTCTTCCCGAAGAATGCAAATTTTTCCTAGCCACTTCTTCTTAGGTTTTCTCTTACTTCTTTACAGTTGGTGGCAAAGCAGCTTCATCTTCTCCAACAGCACGACATCTCTGTTGAATCGTTCGACATGCCTCCGGCGACATTGTTCCGACGATATCAACTCTTCCAAAAGCTGAAACGATCCAATGCAGCCTAATACATCT